GAAATGGGGTTTTGCCATGTTGGCCAGGCTGGTCTCCAGCTCCTGACCTCGGGATCTGCCCACCTCAGCCTCCCAAAGTGCTGGAATTACAGGTGTGAGCCACCGTGCCTCGCTGAAAATACTTTTTAATGTATATAAACACAGGTTGTCTACAAACACTACACATAACTATGCTAATTGTTCTGAAGTAATAAACAGAAACCAAAGTACAACTAAAAACTTCACTGTTTATATACTGAACTTCAGTTTATATACTGAACTGCTTTCTTTTGGCAGTGTGAGTACTTCAGCCTGAAAATATTAGATAATTACCTTGGACAATCAGTTTTCTGTTAAAAAAAACTACTCAGTATCTTTTAGTCTTTATCATTCTGTATTGCTAACTTTAATCCTATTTTTGTGCTCCACTTTTGTGTGTTTTTAAAATGTGCTTTGATCTAAACAAATCTGTGTCGACTTTAAAAGACTAAAAATGAACGGAAAAAAACTTTGGCAAAGCAAAAACAAAGCAATGGATCTGAAGTCCTAGGTAATGACAACTCTGAGTAAAAAAATAATGACAAAAGGTTTACTAAGCTGTTAATATAATGTATGTGTATTTCAAAATAATAAAGATAAGTGTACACATCATCTAAATGCTTTAAGATGCTAAATGCTTATTTCAAGGTAGAAGAATAAAGCTTTTCATTTCTAATTTATATTTTTTTCTACAACAGCCAGATTTTCTGGATGTGTTCTTGAATTCTTGGACATCTGAATTTCAGTAGACATTGGATTCAGGCATCTAAGGAGTAGCCTTGGGCACACTTTGTGCACTTGAAAGAATGCTTATGGGGAAAAAAGCAGAAGAGAGAAATGTATTATTAAAATTCCATGGGTACACATGAATAAAGCAAGTTCTTAGAGACCTATGAAGAGACTGTAATTCTGACACAACAGTAGGAGACTATAACACCCCACAGAAACTATTAGGCAGATCCTTGAAACAGAAAATAAACAAAGATAACAGGACCTAAACTTGACACTTGACCAAATAGTCCTAATAGATATCTACAGAATTCTAAGTAAAAACAACATAATATATACATTATTCTAATCGCCATGTGAAACAAACTCTAACATTACCACACAATAGGTAATAAAACAATACTCAGCAAATACAAAAATCCCTGCATTATACCAACCACACACTGAGACAACAGATTGTTGAAAATATAATTCAACTACAAAGAAAGCCACTTGAAAACATACAACTGTATGAAAATTAACCTGCATTTAAATGACTTTTGGGCAAATAATGAAATTAAGGCAGAAATCAAATTGTTGTTTGAAACAACTAAGAATAAAGATACAACATACCAGAATCACTGCAACACAGCTAAGGCAGTTAAGAAGGAAATTTATAGGCCGGGCGCGGTGGCTCAAGCCTGTAATCCCAGCACTTAGGGAGGCCGAGACGGGTGGATCACGAGGTCGGGAGATCGAGACCATCCTGGCTAACACAGTGAAACCCCGTCTCTACTAAAAATACAAAAAACTAGCCGGGCGAGGTGGCGGCGCCTGTAGTCCCAGCTACTCCGGAGGCTGAGGCAGGAGAATGGCGTGAACCCGGGAGGCGGAGCTTGCAGTGAGCTGAGATCCGGCCACTGCACTCCAGCCTGGGCTACAGAGCAAGACTGCGTCTCAAAAAAAAAAAAAAAAAAAGAAGGAAATTTATAACACTAAATACTCACATCAAAATGTTAGAAAGATCTGAATTTACTGACCTAATATCACAAAATAAAGTATGAGAAGCAAGAGCAAACCAACTCTAAGCTAGCAGAACGCAAAAAATAACCAAAAGTGGCTCTGAACTGAAGGAGACTTAGACATGTAAAACTATACAAAAGATCAAGAAATCCAGGAGTTAAATCTTTGAAAAAAAATTGATAAGATAAACTACTGGCTAGATTAATGAAGAAAGAAGAACCAAATAAACACAATTAGAAATGACAAAGGGACATTACTACTGACCCCACAAAAATACAAATAACTATTGAAGTCTACTATGAACATCTCTATGCACACAAACAAGAAAATCTAATAGTAATAAGTAAATTCCTAGACAAATACATCCTGCCAAGACTGAACACAAATATATCCTGCCAAGACTCAACACAAAAGAAAACGAAGCCCTGAACAGGCCAATAACAAACTCCAAAATTGGGTTAGTAATATATAGCCTACCATCCAAAAAATGCTGCGCACGAGAGAAATTTGCAGCTAAAATCTGTAAGAGGTACAAAGAGGAGCTGGTACCATTTCTGCTAAAAGTATTCCAAAAAAAATGAGAAGGAAATCTTTCCCAACTCATTATATTAGAACAGAATCATTCTGATACTAAAACCTGGCAAGATAAAATGGAAAAAGAAAACTTCAAGTAAGCCAGGCACAGTGGCTAACCAGGAGTGGTGGCTCACACCTGTAATCTCAGCTCTTTGGAGGCCAAGGCGGGCAGATCACCTGAGGTCAGGAGTTCAAGACCAACCTGACCAACATGGAGAAACCCCATCTCTACTAAAAATACAAATTATGTAAAAAAAAAAAATTATCTGGGTGTGGTGGCACATGCCTGTAATCCCAGCTACTTGAAAGGCTGAGGCAGGAGAATTGTTTGAACCCAGGAGGAGGAGGTTGTGGTGAGCCGAGATTGCACCATTGCACTCCAGCCTGGGCAACAAGAATGAAACTCTGTCTCAAAAAAAAGAAAGAAAACTTCAGGCCAATATCCTTCATAAACACTGATGTAAAAATTCTTAGCAAGGTTGGGCGCAGTGGCTCATACATGTAATCCCAGCACTTTGGGAGGCCGAGACAGGTAGATCACAAGGTCAGGAGTTCAAGACCAGCCTGGCCAACTTGGTGAAGCCCCGTCTCTACTAAAAAAAAAAAAAAAAAAAAATTTGCCACTGCATTACAGCCTGCGTGACAGAGCGAGACTCCGTCTAAAAAAAAAAAATTAAGTGGGCGCAGTGGCAGTTGCCTGCAATCCCAGCTACTCGGGAGACTGAGTCAAGAGAATCGCTTGACCCCAGGAGGCAGAGGTTGCAGTGAGCCGAGACCGCACCACTGCACTCTGCCTAGGCAGCAGAGCCCTCTGTTTCCAAAAAAAAAAAACCTCAGCAAAATATTGGGTAATCAAATCCAACAGCCAACAGCACGTCAAAAAGCTAATCCACTATGATCAAGTAGGCTTTATCTCTGGGATGTAAGACTGGTTCATCATAAACAAATCAATGTGATTTATTACATAAACATAACAAAAGACAAAAACCACAAGATTATCTCAATAGATGCAAAAAAAAAACAAAAAAACACCAAACTTTCAACAAAATTTAACATCGTTTATGTCAAAGCCCTCAACCAATTAGGCATTGAAGGTACATACTTCAAAATAATGAATTATCTATGACAAACCCACAGCCAACATACTGAATGGACACAAGCTAGAAGCATTTCTCTTTAAAAAATGGCCCGAGACAAGACTGGATTAAGAAAATGTGGCACATATACACCATGGAATACTATGCAGCCGTAAAAAAGGATGAGTTTGTGTCCTTTGTAGGGACATGGATGCAGCTGGAAACCATCATTCTCAGCAAACTATCACAAGAACAGAAAACCAAACACCGCATGTTCTCACTCATAGGTGGGAACTGAACAATGAGATCACTTGGACTCGGGAAGGGGAACATCACACACTGGGGCCTATCATGGGGAGGGGGGAGCAGGGAGGGATTGCATTGGGAGTTATACCTGATGTAAATGACGAGTTGATGGGTGCAGCACGCCAACATGGCACAAGTATACATATGTAACAAACCTGCACGTTATCCACATGTACCCTAGAACTTAAAGTATAATAATTAAAAAAAAAAAAAAAAAAAAAAGGAATGTCTTGTCTCACCACTCCTATTCAGCATAGAATTGGAAGTCCTGGCCACAGCAATCAGGTGAGAAAAAAAAAAAGGCATCCAAATGGGAGGAGAGGTTGTCAAGCAATCTTTGTTTGCAGACAATATGATTCTGTATCTAGAAAAGACTATAGTTGTGACAGAAAAGCTCTTTAAACTGACAAACAACTGCAGAAAAGTTTCAGGATACAAAATAAATGTACAAAAATCAGTAGCATCCATGTACATCAACAATATCCAAGCTAAAAGCCAAATCAAAAACAAAATCTCATTCACAACCGCCACAGAAAAATAATTATCTAGAAATACAGCTAACCAGAGAGATGAAAGATCTCTATGACAAAAATAAAAAAATAAAACAAAACAAATTGTTTAAATAAGTCAGAGATGAAAAACAAATGGAAAATCATTTTATGCTCACGGATAGAAAAGATCAATATCATTAAAATGGGCATACTGCCCAAAGAAATCTACAGATCTAATACTATTCCTATCAAACTACCAAAAATATTCTTAACAGAACCAAAATAATCCATTTTAAAATTCATATGGAACAAAAAAAAGAGCCCAAATAGCCAAGGCAATCCTACACAAAAGGAACAGAGCTGGAGGCCTTACATTACCAAACATTAAACCACAGGGCTACAGTAAAAAAAGCAGTATGGTACTGGTACAAAAACAGGCTCAGAGACCAAAACAACAGATTAAAGAGCCCCAAAATTATTCTGTACACCTACAACCATCTGATCTTTGACAAAGCTGACAAGAGGAATTTGAGAAAAATTCCTTATTTAATAAATTTTGCTGGAATAACTAGCTAGCACTATGTAGAAGATTGAAACTAGACCCCTCTCTTACACCATATATAAAAATCAACTCAAGATTGATTAGGCCAGGCACCGTGGCTCACGCCTATAATCTCAGCACTTTGGGAAGCCAAGGCGGGCAGATCGGCTGAGGTCAGGAGTTCGAGACCAGCCTGGCCAATATGGTGAAACTCCATCTCTACTAAAAATACAAAAATTAGCCGGGCGTGGTGGTGGGCACCTATAATCCCAGCTACTCAGGAGGCTGAGGCAGGAGAATTGCTTGAACCTGGGAGGTGGAGATTGCAGGGAGGTGGAGGTTGCAGAGAGCCGAGATCGTGCCACCACACTGCAGTCTGGCAACAGAGCAAGACTCCATCTCGGCAAAAAACAAAAAGAAAAGGTAAGCAAAAGACATCAACAGATACTTTTCAAAAAAAGACATACATGTGGTTAACAAGCACATAAAAAAGTGCTCATCACTAATCATTAGAGAAATGCAAACAAAAACCACAATGAGGCATCATCTCATACAAATCTGAATGGCTATTATTCAAAACTCAAAAAAAATCACAGATGCTGGTAAGGTTGCAAAGGGAATGTTTATACACTGCTAGTGGGAGTGAGAATTAGTTCAACCATCGTGAAAAGCAATGTAGTGATGTCTCATAAAAGTAAAAACAAATTACCATTTGACCCAGCAACCTCATAATTGGGTATATACCCAAAGAAATATAAATTATTCCATCATAACACATGCACATGCATGTTCATTGCAGCACTATTCACAAGAGCAAAGACATGAAATCAACCTAAATGCCTGTCCATGGTAGACTGGATAAAGAAAATATGGTATGGGCAGGTATGGTGGCTCATGCCTCTAATCCAACACTTCGGGAAGTCAAAGCAGGTAGACTGCCAGAGCTCAGGAGTTTGAGAGCAGCCTGAGCAACATGGCAAAACCTCACGTCTACAAAAAATAGAAAAAGAAAAAATTAGTGGGTGTGGTGGCATGTGACTGAAGTCCCAGATACCTAGGGGGCTGAGGTAGGAGGACTGCTTGAGCTCAGGAGATTGAGGTTTCATTGAGCCTAGATCACACCACTCCACTTCAGCCTGGGTGAAAGAGTAAGACCCTTTCTTCAAATATAAATAAAATAAAAGATTCAATAAAAACAAAATATGGTACACAAGCATCATGGAATACTGTGTGGCCGAAGGAAGGAAGGAAGGAAGGAAGGAAGGAAGGAAGGAAGAAAATCATATCCTTTGTAGCAACATGAATGGAGCTAGAGACCAGTATTCTTAGAAAACTAATGTAGAGACAGTAATCCCAGCACTTTGGGAGGCCGAGGTGGGTGGATCACCTCAGGTCAGGAATTCGAGACCAGCCTGGCCAATATGGTGAAACCCCGTCTCTACAAAAATATAAAAATTAGCTGGTTGTGGTGGCAGTCGCATGTAATCCTAGCTACTTGGGAGGCTGAGGCAGGAGAATCGCTTGAAACCAGGGAGGTGGAGGTTGCAGTGAGCCAAGATTGTGCCACTGCACTCTAGCCTGGGAGACAGAGCAAGACTCTGTCTCAAAAAACAATAATAATAAATTCATGTTACCATTTATAAGAGCTAAATAATAAGAATGCATAGACACAAAGAGAACAATAAATACTGAGGTCTAGTTCATGGTGGATGATGGGAGGACAAAAAATCAGAAAAAAATACCTGTTTGGTGCAATTTTTAGTATCTCAGTGACAATATAATCTGCACACCAAACCCCCATGACACAATTTTAGCTATATAACAAACCTACATGTGTACTCAGGAACAAAAAATAAAAGTTAGAAGGAAAAAAAATCCATGAGTTTGAGAGAGTGCAACGTAGGAGGTAGGACTGGTTTGTACTACAGCTCGCGGCCCAGTTGTGACTCTACTCTAATTTATTTCTGCATTCATGCAGGCAGATGAGATTATGGACAGGTGGTCCAGAACCCTAGGCTGGTGGAGAAAACAGGTTGCTGCTGCAGATTCAGTGTCTGGGGGTGAGGATATGCCATGAGACTTGTAGACATTTGTGGGTTTTTGGCAAAAAAAATTAGGATCAAAAATGCTGTGGTGAAATTCCTGAGGGTGGTGTCTAGCCCCGGGAGTGGTGTAGACACCTCAATGTCTAGTGGGTGTGTTTGTGAGTGGGTAGAAATCCTGTGCTGACAGCTGTGGAAGAAGGGAATCTGCTATCAGAGCTTCTTTCCTTTAAGTTTTCAGTCCTCTCTCACCCTGGGAGGAGACCTAGAATCACAAAACAATGGGCACTGTGACAGAAAAGCAGAGCCTCCCAGAGTTTCATTCCAGGCCAGGCCTCTGTGGTATCTTTCTTCTGGCACCAAATCTGTAGAGTTTGCTGAACACCAAGATTCTCCAGCATCAACTCATTGTCTAAAATTTGCATTCTGACACCACCCATTCAGCACAGACCCTGATTCAGGACTCAGTCGCACAGTATTCTCCTTACTGCAGATGTCAGTAACAAACCCAGTGAACCCATCTACGCTCCTGAGCTACTGTTTAAAAATCGGGGACTCCCACAACCTCCCTCAAGTTCAATGATTTGATAGAGCCACTAACAGAACAAGCAAAACAACATAGTTATGTTGACCAGTTAATTATAAAAGATACAACTCAGAAAAAGCAAAATGGAATAAATGTATAGGACAAAAAAAAAAAAAAAAGGGTTGAGAAAGATGAAGCACATAGGTAATCCAGGTAAACAGCTATGATTAATAAAATTCTCCATCCTTTGTGTGCTCCAGGAACAGTTTATGGAAAGAAACACTTTTTCCATTATAACTTAGATGGTGCCCTTTTTTTACCAATCACATAGCCAGATACAGACTCTGCACATTTTCTTCTTTTACTCATATAAAAATCAGCTAAATTTGCCCAGGCATGGTGGCTTATGCCTGCAATCCCAGCACTTTGGGAGGCCGAGGTGGGTGGATCACCTGAGGTCAGGAGTTCAAAACCAGCCTGGCCAACATGGTGAAACCCCGTCTCTACAAAAATGCAAAACATTTAGCCAGAGATGATGGCTGGTGCCTGTAATCCCAGCTATTCAGGAGGCTGAGGCAGGAGAATCACTTGAACGCAGGAATCAGAGGTTGCAGTGAGCCAAGATCATGCCATTGCACTCCAGCCTGGGCGACAGAGTGAGACTCCATCTCAAAAGATCTAAACTCTAGTTATTTCATCCTCAATTTGCCATTTCCCTCACACCTTCTTTTTAATCTGTTTGCTCCTCCTTATGAAAGAAAGTCCTTGTCTGCCTAAGCTTTGCAATCCTTAAAGATATTGTTAGTACTGTTAGTACTTCCTCCTGTTGCAATACTCCTTTGGAATTTCTTTTTTTTAATATAAATCTAACTTTGTTTATATTTCACAAAGTCTAGAAACTATCTCATAACAATAACAACTTCATCTTCAGCAAGACCGTCTGAGACCCCTTCTATTGTAACCTTAACTGCCTATGGATCCCCAGCTTTCCAGGGCTCTGTAACTTCTCTCAGGATAAAGGCTTCTTTCATGGCTGGGACATCTGCAGGGGCGGCTCCCCAGAAAGAATTAACTGGGCCTTTAATAACCTTTTTTTGCAGGCTCAATATTAGCCTTAGCTTAGAGTCACTGGGCTCAAGTTTTAATTTCTATGACAGAGTTACTCACTTGGTTTTTTTATTTCACTATTTCTCTACCCACTTAGAGAATCCAGGGGGCAGAAATTATTTCTGTGTTTTTTTTTTTATCAGCATCTGATTGGCTTAACAGCAATGTGTCTCTAAGAAATAGAAGCTGAGTTGGGTGAAGACAATTTTAATGTCTTCGAAAAAGAAGTACAACAGGAGACTCCTCTCAGCCCTGGGGCAGCCACCTTCTTTCTTTCCTTTTTTTTTTTTTTTTTGAGACGGAGTCTCGCTCTAAGCTCCTTCGCCCAGGCTGGAGTGCAGTGGCCGGATCTCGGCTCACTGCAAGCTCCGCCTTCTGAGTTCTGCCATTCTCCTGCCTCAGCCTCCCAGAGTAGCTGGGACTACAGGCGCCTCACCTCGCTGACTAGTTTTTGTATTTTTAGTAGAGGCAGGGGGTTTCACCGTGTTACGAGGATGGTCTCGATCTCCTGACCTCTCGCGATCCGCCCGCCTCGGCCTCCCAAGTGCTGGGATTACAGGCTTGAGCCACGCGCCAGGGCCGACCACCTTCTTTCTTAAGAGGCTATACTCCATAACTCAGGTTGTGATATAAGGAAAAAAAAAAGACCCAGTAGCTGATATTCACTAGACACTCTAACAGATATAGCTGTGGTGCATATCTTGGTTTATCACCAGAAAATACTTAAGCCCAGGACCAAGAACAAAACTACAGGGTAGGTGAAGACATCTCACCTCATAGTTTCCAAAGGGAAACTTTGACCCAAAAACATTCTGATAAGATCTCTGTGCCTATACAAGATAAAAGCAAAGAGGAACAATTTTTTTTTTTCACACTACAGCGTCAGGGAATTATACTTTGCTTTCTTCTCATGGAAAGTATTTACAAAAGAAAACAAATATTTTTAAAGTGCCATCCAATGCGTTGTCAAAAAATGATTAATTAAAACATGGTATAAAAAATGTAAATTGAAGGATGAATAATTGATAATGTGAATTAGGGAAAACTGGCATTCAGGAATGTCAGAAAAAACTGAAAATTTAGTATTTTATTATTTACTATTTTTGCAAGCCACAGTTAAGCTGAAGAAATGATGGGGGGGGGGGGGCGGTGGTCGGTAAAACTTGAGACTCTGCTTGGGACACGTGTAAAAAATGCAGCGGAAAAGGCCAGGCGCGGCTCACGCCTGTAATCTCAGCACTTTGAGAGGCCAAGGCAGGCGGATCACCTGAGGTTAGGACTTCAAGACCAGCCTAGCCCACATGAAACCTCGTCTCTACTAAAAATACAATAATTAGCCAGGCATGGTGGCGGGTTCCTGTAATCCCAGCTACTCCGGAGGATGAGACAGGGGAAAAGCTTGAACCTGGGAGGCGGAGGTTGCAATGAGCAGAAATCTCACGCCTGCACTCCAGCCTAGGCGACAGAGTGAAACTCTTTCTCAAAAAAAAAAAAAAAGGGAAAAAAAATCAGCGGAAAATTAGTCTCCTGTGGCTTGTGAAAATAATTAAGTGGCAGGCAACAAGACTGAGGTGGCTCTAGTCCCTGGATTTCTACTTTAAAGAAATTTAACTCAAATACATGTTTTGTTTTGTTTTTTGAGATGGAGTTTCGCTCTTGTTGCCCAGGCTGGAGTGCAATGGCGCAATCTCGGCTCACTGCACCATCCACCTCCTGGGTTCAAGCGATTCTCCTGCCTCAGCCTTCCGAGTAGCTGGGATTACAGGCATGCACTACCATGCCCGACTAATTTTGTATTTTTAGTAGAGACGGGTTTTCTCCATGTTGGTAAGGCTGGTCTCCAACTCCCGACCTCAGGTGATCCGCCTGCCTGGGCTTCCCAAAGCGCTGGGATTACAGGAGAGAGCCACTGCGCCTGGCCTCAAATGCGTGTTTTTATAAATTACTAAATTGGGGGAAACAAAACTGAGGCTTAGCCAATTATAAACTACCAATTAACCTCTGGTTACATAACAAGGAAATGTCCACCTTGATCGCACAAATTACGAAACTATGCAACTGTACCTAACCAATTATTGAATTTGATTTTCTTTATCGCACCTTATAAAAGTTTTTTCTTCAAGTCCCTGCTATGGACGACAAATGACAAACATAGCTGGGTACTCTACAATTTTTTTTTTTTTTTTTTTTTTAGACGGAGTCTCGCTCTGTCGCCAGGCTGGAGTGCAGTGGTAGCATCTCGGCTCACTGCAACCTCTGACTTCCTGGTTCAAGCGATTCTCCTGCCTCAGCCTCCTGAGTAGCTGGGATTAAAGGCATGTGACACCACGCCCGGCTAATTTTTGTGTTTGTAGTAGAGTCGGGGTTTCACCATATTGGCCAGAATGGTCTGGATCTCCTGACATCGTGATCCACCCGCCTCGGCCTCCCAAAGTGCTGGGATTACAAGCGTGAGCCACCACACCCGGATTTGTGAATCACTCTTTAATTAAATTCTTTAATGTTTTGCGGTGACTTCTGTACATTTTTAATAAGAGAAAAGAGAGACTCAGAACCCCACAGACCAAAGCTCTTCCCATTCACGAACCCCGCACCCCGGGTCAGGATTCTCCCCTGTCTACCCTCCCGTGGTCCCCGCACAATCTGGGGAGACGCGGCGCTGCTGATGCTGAGCTGCGGAGAGACGGCTCCAGGCCAGGGCAGTCACTGTGCAGGGAAGAGACAGGACGCCCGGGGTCCCGGCTGTCAGGGCAGCCGCCATCTTATGGCTGAGGGGGACTGAGGCCGAGCTAGCCAAGGAAAACTCGGGCGCAGATTGTGGAGCTGACTGCGAAGAGGCCCGAGTCCCGCCACAGCCACTTCCCACCGGTTCCCACTAGCCCCTTCCCCTCTCCCGGGATGTCGGACCCGGCACTCTCACCATTTCTAGGCTTCCAGGGGGACCTGGCGTCTTAGCTGGGGATCTCCCAACGCCTGCAGGTCACAGGGCCACAGAGGCTGGGCCTCTACGAGAAGAGGACACAGACCAGGTAAGACGAGACCTGCAGCTGTGACTGAAGCGAGAGACAAAGTCCCCGCCAAACCCGGAAGCCGCCCTGTCCGCTCCAGCTTCGTGTCTGATTGGACGGTTTCCAGCCCAGCGCCCCTGATTGGGTAACGTTTAAGGCCCCGCCCCTTTAGACCCTGAGTGACAGGAGATGTGATCTGATGCTCGACTGAATGAAGAGTGACAGCCTAAGATGCAGCCTTTTCAGGCAGGGCTTCCTCCCTGAGATAAGCCAGGCCCGACCCAGAGGTATTTGAATTTAACCTTGTGTGTAAGGTCATATGCGTTTATACATAATACATTATATGACCGAGCGCGGTGACTCACGCCTGTAGTCCCAGCTACTCGGGAGGCTGAGACAGGAGAATCGCTTGAACCCGGGAGGCAGAGGTTGCAGTGAGTCGAGATCGCGCCACTGCACTCCAGCCTGGGCGTCAGAGTGAGACTGTCTCAAAAAAATAAAGAAAAAAATATGCTATATGGTTATTCACGAAAAAAAAAATAATAATAACAATTATTTTAAAATTTCAGCTTTCCTGACCTTCCTGGCTTCTGGTTTTTTGATCAGGCAGCCTGAGATTTTAAGAAGGAGATAATCATGGCCGGGTGCAGTGGCTGACACTTGTAATCCCAGCACTTTGGGAGGCCGAGGCCGGCAGATCACCTGAGATCAGGAGTTCGAGACCAGCCTGACCAATATGATGTACCTCTGCCTCTACTAAAAATACAAAAATCAGCCCGGTGTGGTGGCAGGTGCCTGTGATCCCAGCTACTTGGGAGACTGAGATAGGTGAACCCAGGAGGCGCAAGTTGCATTCAGCCGAGATCCTTTGAACTCCAGCCCAGGCAATAAGAGCAAAACTAAACTCCGTCAAAAAAAAAAAAAAAGAGGCAATCTTCTAAAATAGAATGTGAGCCAAATGTGAATTTTAAATTTTCTAGTAGCCAAACTTTAAAAAGAAGAAACAGGTCAAACTGACTGTAACCCAATATATCCAAAATATTACTATATAAGCAATGTGCAATTATTAATATAGCATGTATATAGTTGGAACTATATCATTGGAACCAAGTCTGGAATTTTTGGGGGGGGAATTTTTTTTGAGATGGAGTTTCGCTTTTGTTGCCCAGGCTGGCGTGCAATGGCACGAACTTGGTTCTCCGCCTCGTGGATTCAAGCAATTCTCCTGCCTCAGCCTCCTGAGTAGCTGGGATTACAGGCATCTGCCACCATGCCCAGCTAATTTTTGTATTTTTAGTAGAAATGGGGTTTCTCCGTGTTGGTCAGACTGGTCTGGAACTCCCTACCTCAGTTGATCCACGCGCTTCGGCCTCCCAAAGTGCTGGGATTACAGGCGTGAGCCACCGCACATGGGCTACTAAGTCTGTTTTTTGCCTTTCCAGCACATCACAGTGTAGACCGAGTCACATTCCAGGCACTCAGGAGCCACACATGAAGTGCGCCTCTGATGTTATGCAGGTGAAGGGCCTGAACAAATTTATTCTGCCAGTGTGAAGGAAGGACCTCTTCCTAACAACATCTCTCTTCAGTTTCGAGGATGGAAAAGATAGTGGCCGTAGAAAGAGCAGAGGGCAGCAGGAATAAATTAACCACAAGTAGCCCACCTTCCTTCCAGAGATCAGAAAGGGAACAAAGGATGATAGGTCTGGAGGAGAAGAAAACTCTAAGTCTTCGTATCTGTACATACTCTTGACTTGCAATGTTTGTATATAGAGAAAATAGATTAAAAGCAAACACATTTTGCTATTTGGCCTTGAACGTAATCATTAGGCCTCCTGGATTCACGTGATTCACGTGCCTCAGCCTCCGGAATAGCTGGGATTACAGTCGTGTACCACCATACTCAGCTAAATTTTTTGTATTTTTAGTAGAGATGGGGTTTTGCCCTGTAAGCCAGGCTGGTCTTGAGCTCCTGGCCTCAAGTGATCCGCCCACCTTAGCCTCCCAAAGTGCTGGAATTACAGGCATAAGCCACTGTGCCTGGCTATGATATATTTTTACATTTATGGCTTAGGTGATGTGTCCTTCTTCTCTGCCAGGCCCCTGCCAAAATGTGGGATGCTGACATATCCCTGGACCTAGCACCTAGGTAATGTGACTCTTGTATTTCACATAGGCCCCACGTATTTTGAGTACTGTGACATATGACTAGACCAAACACCTAGAAGATGGGAGACACCTGTCTATGCCCTGTAAACAGGGTGTTAGCCCTACCATTCTCAAGAGCCTCATGACATATCTCTGTATTCATCACCTAGGAGATGTGACTCTCCTCTGCTGCCTGCATCCTGCCCACTGGAAAGATTGTGACATAACATTTGACTCCGCAACAAGGGTGATGTGTTTTCTTTTCCTGGGTCCTGTTCACAGGGAGTCTTGTGACATATCACTGGGCACAGCACCCACGTGCTGTGACTCTGCTGCCTGTGCCCCCCTTTCAGAACAGGAATGTAACGTATCTCTGGCCAAGCACCCAGGTGACATGACTCTTCTTTCTAGTTTCTGCCGTGAGAAAAGAGTGTGACGTATCTCTGACCTAGCACCAAAATGATGTGACTCTCTTGCTCACATACTCTATGCACAGGTGGGATTGTAAAATATATATATATTTTTAGCTCATAGGTGAGATAACTCTCATACCTCAAATCAACAAATAGGGGACATACTGTCTTTCAAAGCTAGGCTTAGGGAAATACATAAGATTCTGGGTCTCCTCCTTGTATGAAGGTCATAGTGGATTACCACTCTCGTATATCATATAAACCCTTGGTGGTACAGAGAGTGTCATGGCAGGGCCCAGCACACAGGTGACATTGCATTTCTTGTATACACACCGCATCATCTATTAGGATTGTCACCTGACACATGGACAGAGCCTACTGGTAAGGTCTTGAATCTCACACATGGATGCAGTCTACAATTGAAATTGTGATTGTCATAGTTGAACATCCGGCTGAACTTGAGATGGTGACTCATTTCTAACCTAGCTCCTCAACAGGTGAGAACTCTTTTATTTGGAACCAGCCAATTATAGAGATGTTGACTCTCATACCTGGGCTTAGAACCACAGGTACAATCATAGGTCCATACCATCATGAAGGTCACAGAGCGGTTTGCAACTCTCATTAATAGTGTAGAAAGCTCTCGACTGGTACTGAGAGTCTTAGCAGAGCCTAGCACACAGGTAAGACTGTGAGGCTCACATGCACACCCAGCCAATAGCAAAACTTGTCACCTTTCCATGTGAACACAGCCCACTGTTGAGGTCCCAAGTTTTCCTTGTGAAAACAGTCAAAAGTTGGAAAACTGACTCATATGTGGATTTGGTTCAAAGGTGAGTTGGTGACGCCCAGACCTCTATCCAACACACCTGTGAGTCTGTGGCTCCAGTGAGCATTCACAGTCTGCACAAGAAATTGAGACTCTCACAAACAAATCAAGTGCACCATTGAGATTGTGACTCTTGTACTTAGACCCAACATACAGGAGCTGCTGACTCTCAAATTTAGAACTGAGACATGTGTGAAATTGTGAATCTAATTTCTAAACCATCCTGCAGGTGTGATTGTGACATATACCTCTGCTCAGTACTTGAGTAATTTGACTCTCCTTCCTGGGCCCGGTTCATAGTTGCAATTGTGACATATTGCTGAACCCAGCAAATAGGTGATGTGACTCCATACTCCTGCCTTGGTGCTGCCCACAGAGGGCATTGTGACATATTACTGGGCCTTGCATCCAAGCGATGTAAGTCTCTCCTTTTAACCAGCCAGTAGCAGAGAGTCTGTGTCTCTTTGCAAGGCTTTGGCAAACAGATGAGTTTCTGGGTCTTCTTTTTGTAAAGACCATGCAGAATTGGCATTCACTTGCATATTGTGTAAAACTCTTGGGTGGTACAGAGAGTGTCATCACAGAGCCCGACACACAGTTGAGGTTGTGTTTCTCATATGCACAACACATCATCCCTTAGGATTTGAATCCCCTCATACACACACACATATATACAGAGCTTACTGCTGAGGTTCTTAATCTCATAAGTGGATACGGTCTGCAGTTGAAATTGTGATTGTCATATGTTAATATCCAGCCAGAGTTGAAATGACTAGATATTCACACATGGCTAAATGGCTATGAGCTTCCTGCAGCTCATAGGCAGGTAAGAAATCTCTTATCTAGACTCAGCCAACTGGAGACATGTTGACTCTCACACCTGAGCTTAGGGCCACATGTATGATCATGGGTCCATACCAACATAAAGTTCTCAGACCAGATTGTAACTCTCTCTCTTTTTTTTTTTTTTTTTTTTTTTTTGAGATGGAGTTTTGCTCTTGTTGCCCAGGCTGGAGTGCAATGGTGCAATCTCAGCTCACCACAACCTCCGCATCCTGGGTTCAAGTGATTCTCCTGCCTCATCCTCCTGAGTAGCTGGGATTACAGGCATGTGCCAACACACCCGGCTAATTTTGTATTTTTAGTAAAGACGGGGTTTCTCCATGTTGGTCAGGCTAGTCTTGAACTCACAAACTCAGGTGATCCACCTGCCTCAGCCTCCCAAAGTGCTGGGATTACAGGCTTGAGCTACCACGTCCGGCCAGCAACTCAACTCTTATGCATACAGTGTAAAGCCCTCAAGTAGGAGAGATTATGTCCTAACAGATCTTGGCACACAGGTGAGATTGTGACACTCACATGCAAACCCAGCTGACAGTAATGATTGTCATCCCTCCACATGAACACAACCCACTGTTGAGATTCTGAATCTCAAAACCAATAAAAGTTTCAAAAATTGAAAAATTGACTTTCATCCTTGAATCCAGGGTACAGATAAGCTGGTGGCTCTCAGACCAAGATTTGGCACCCCTGAGACTTGAGAGACTGTGAGTCACTAAGGAGACACAGTCGAAAAGATGGATGGAAGGTCTCGTGCACAGAGCAAGTCCACAGTTGAGACTGTGACTCCTGAACATACGTGCAACATAAAGGATGTGTTAAATCTCACACCTGGAACCTCGACATGTGCAGGACGGTTAATTTCA